AGAGAGAGAGAGAGAGAGAGAGAGAGAGAGAGAGAGAGAGAGAGAGAGAGAGAGAGAGACAGACAGACAGACAGACAGACAGACAGACAGCGAGCCGCCTAGGAATAGAGCATCATCGCCTATTGCTTCTTCGCGGAGGTCTTTTATTTTGTGGTTTTGTAACAAGCTTCGTGTATTTAGCACAATGCTTCTCTCCTGCCAGTTTCGCATAGTGAAATGATGCCGTCCGTCCGGTTCTGGTGTTTTCGATACAAAGTTCGGGTATTTACTGCTATGCCTCTCTTCCTGGACCTATTCTGTCTATTTCCTCGTCCTCCTGTTCGTAGCATACAGTAGAAGACTGTCGTGTTAATGAACAAATGGAAAGAAAAAATGCAGGGGAACAGTGTCGTCGCTTTGCTTTTGCGTTTGTCCATCAACCCATAGGGCCTCGTTCCACACCACTTCACTCCACTTCAATTTCAAGTGCCGCACTTGAGCCGCGTCACAGGGTAATGGTCATTAAAAAACACTTGAGCCTGGCACCGTTCGACGTCACACTCCACTCCACACTCGAAACAGGAGCCGGAAAGTGGCAGAGGAGGTTGGCGTGAGGGAAGGGGGGATGTAAAACATAAAAAAGAAAAAAAGGGGTGAACGTGCAACGTCTACAACCACCTCCCGACTCTCACTTGCGCCGTTTTGAAGTGTGGCTCAAGTGTGGTCGGAGAGGTGACTTGAAAAATTCACAGATTCGCCTGGGCCGCACTTGAGCTGCACTTGACGTTTTTGGCTGGCGCTGGGAGAGGCGGGAAGCCTAATCGCGATTAGGGGAGGTGAAAGTCAAGTGCAGTGCAGTGTGGAACGAAGAATTTCTTAAGTATTTCTAAAGTGAAGTGGTGTGGAACGAGGCCCATAGTAATTGTACGGCGGGCTGGCATGCAACTGTAGCAGGGGCCCGGGGTTCGGTGCCCCCGAAATCCCGGGCTACCACCAGCGGCCCCTTGCACGCAGCACTCTGGATTAGAGGTTCGCATGGGACCTTGGGCCCAGTTTCTCAGCAAAGATTTGGTAAAGAGATGAAATTGTTGTATCAATGGGACGCTGGACCCGGTTTCCAGCAGGTGCCGCTCCTTCCCAATAGACTGGAGATTCCGGCAATGGGCTGCTGGGAGGTGGCGATCATACCGCATCGCCTAGCAGGCCGAGGCCGGTTGTGTATTCTCCGTCTCTGCCTACGGTTTACTGGGAAGCCTCTGTTTGATGATATATATATAGATATATATATATACACACACACACACACACACACACAGAGAGAGAGAGAGAGAGAGAGAGAGAGAGAGAGAGAGAGAGAGAGAGAGAGAGAGTTTCTTACAGAACTGACTGACAATCCCCTCGGCCTGAATGATTTTTTGTCCCCTTCCCAATTTGTTACAATTGCTTATCAGCTTGACGGTGTTGAAAATCAGTTGTTACATATGCTCATAATAGTCCACCTCCTGAAGGTAATAACTATATGCAAAGCCATGCCATGACCTTAATGACCTTTCTTATATTTCTGCCTGGATTTTACACAAACCTGGGCATTATATGGCACTCATGCGTGCAGCTGCCAGAGTGGGAACTGTGGGATGGTGGGACAATGATTTAGGCTATTTTCAACATTAATGAATATCTGTGTGCATTACCGAATCATGCTTTATTCTGGATTATTGATCGACTCTCGTGTGACACCTGTCGGCACCTGTCGGGAGAGGGACGCGTTGCGGCTTGGCTGCGGAATTCATCACCTATGCCATCAACATTATCAATCTATTGCAGCCGCCGCCGTCTGTGCTGAAAAGTGTCCAACATTTCCTCATTGTACACATCCCTATCACCCAGATATTCGCTGTCCCTTTTGTGCTCAAGGACACTATCAGGACTGCATGATGCCGCACTGTTATGAACATCCTGCTGTTTTTTTTACATGTGGACAATATGTCCTTTATCAGGACTGTTTTGATGGGATGGGATGGTCCATGCTAGCCGTCCTGCTGAATGCTGTGCTGAAGTAGCTCTCCTTGGGTATCCTGGTGAACATCCACATCATCCTCAGAGTGCCGGTCCTATCTGCCGGGGTGGGGGCTCCTCTTCCTGACTGGTCAATAGAATGAAGGGATCAGGAGCAACACTAATTGTAGGACAGATGAAAGCAAGAAAGAGAAAAAGTACAAAATTCTGGAGAAAAGAAAAAAGAAAACAAGAATAAAAATATATATATATATATATATATGTTTTCTGAACGTACTCGTGATGGGATGCTGGGCCAGGTTCCCAGTTTGTGCCAATTTGTGAGGATATGGTTGTATCTATGGGACGCTGGACCCGGTTTCCAGCAGGTGCTGCTCCCCACATATAGATGGAGCTTGTTCCTTCAAAAAAAAAATAATAATAATAAAAAAATGTTGAACTTTGTAGTGACAGTGGCAATGTGTCATTTGCTTTCTTCCTTTGTCTTTTCTTTGACCTTTCTCTTTCTCTTGCCTCTGTGAGGTCTGGTTTCCTCCTCCTTTTCTTTACCTCTTTGCCTTTTGGCTGCGTGCAAGTGGGTCCATGTGACACACGGGGATGGGGGCAGCCAGCGCTCGACCTGTCATACACGTGGCTGGCCTTGTACGTAAGAGGTGATGAACAGGTGGGGCTTTCCTTCCTTACTTCTTTTTCTCTCCTTGTTTTGCTTTTTTTTGCCTTCGCTCTCTGATTCACAGTGTGACAATATATATATAGTTTCTTTCAGAACTGACTGACAATCCCCTCTCCCTCAATGATTTTTTTTTGTCTTCCTGGCAGCTTCCTACAGTTCGTAGATGCACGAAGCTGCTCTCTCTCTCTCTCTCTCTCACACACACACACACACACACACACACACACACACACACACAGACTCGCAGGGAAGAGAATGACATGAACACGAAGTAGAGGAACAACGACGAGCGAGAATGAAGAGGTTGGCGGACACTCGCCGTGCGATGCTAGACGGCAAAACTCCAAACATTGGGACATGAAGTTGTTCTTCACGAGCTTCTTCGCAAGCAGCCAGATACGAGTAGACTGCACTGCAGCAACTTCTCCGTGTGTCAAGGAAAATAGAGGTGGAGCATCAACAACAATGGGGTTCGAAATCCTATTCAAAGTTGAAGCGCATCACTGCTGCAGGGGCAGTACAGGAAGATGCCCGCCCCTTATGAGGGCATAAGGGGCAGTACAGGAAGATGCCCGCCCCTTATGAGGGCATAAGGGGCAGTACAGGAAGATGCCCGCCCCTTATGAGGGCATATGGCGCAGAGCCCAATGGAATGGCACCGCAGTTGAGGGAGGACGTCATCGAAAGTTGTGGCCACCACTTACACGGGCCTGCCAAAAATATTTTTTGGCTCCCCTGTCGAAAATATTTTTAGGCTCAGGGGAGGCCTGAAAGGCCGTCCTGTCCAGATTCGACAGGTATTTGAACTGCTTGGGCGGCCGTCGGAGGGGCGCGACGCATAATAATGGAAATTATAGGGGCGCCACACAAATCTTCCCGTTGGTTTTAATTAATTTTGAGGATTTCTCGATTCATGCGCAGGGGCCATGCTAATCTTCTCTGTATCGTTCCAATTTTGAGGGATGTGGGATGTTCCGAAGGACTCTCTGCGTCGCCGTTTTCTTGTTTTTCTTTGGCAATTCAGGAATTTCGTTCATCTGGTTGCGTCTGAAGTCGAACTCACGTCTACATTTCAGCAGTTTATAGGTGTACCAACCAACATTTCACAGTTTATCGGTGTACCAACCAACTCACAACCACTGGCCCAGGAAACAACAAACATCAACCTCGGTCCTGGATGTATCAATGGGACGCTGCACCCGGTTTCCATCAGGTGCCGTTCCCCAACAATAAATGGATCGAGCAGCCCGACAGATAAGCCCTCAATTCTTACGGTTATCTTACCAGCGCCAGGATAGAGGGATATCGCAATGGCATTTCTTAAAAAAAAAAAAAAAAAAAAAAAAAAAAAAAGTTTTCTCTGCTGTCAGGTCCCATTTGCTTGGATTCTTCGTTCCAGGCCGTCGATCTTAATGATGGATTGGGAGAAGTGACAGTATTGGGGTGAGTGGGACTGGCCCAGTAACACTGCCGCTTCTAGTTTTCGCGGGCGCGCAATGGCGGGGAGTTTTCGTGATTTTCGCGATGGCCGATTGATGGGATCTGAGTGTGATGGCCATCTGACGGAGGAGAGGGGTGAATGGAGAACGGGTGAGCCCGAATCGTTTTTTTCCCGGGATGTCTTATCGAACGCGCGTGGTCAGAAGCGTTTTTCAAAGTGGAACAAGCTTGGATGCGTACTTTATCTGAGGACATAATTACACTACGAGTTTTTCCACTTCTCTGTGGATGAAATTGCGGTCAGGTGCATCCAGAAGGGGTCGAAAAAGGGGTCATATATATACATCGAGAAAAGTCTTAGTGCGAGTATGCTCTGCGGGTGTGCGAAGGGGAGAGGCGAGCAAAAGAGGGATCAGGAGTAAGAGGCAGAACCTCGGATCGGGCGCGGTCTGTGACCCTGTACGCGATTTCGCAAGCTTACCCATGTTTTTGGGTAAGCTTGCTTCCCCATCATGTCCTCGGTGTGGACAAAGCAATTGCTATTTGTTAGCGTTGATGTGGACATTTAGTCATGTCGGATGATGAGTCATTGCAGTTCGTTCAGGTGGGTGTGAACATTCTGTATTAGGACGAATATGTTCTTAGAACAGAGGGTAAGGAGTTAGTAGTTAACTCATCCATCAATCGCGCCTAGAATCTATAGGGGTCTGTGTCAGGTAAGATGATGTTACCTCCGATATTTATAAAAGGCGCGCAGGTGATTGATTCAAAATCTTTTTTTTTTTTTTTTTTTTTCCCGTTTTTCCTTCGCATCGTGTAGTTCAAGGTTTGGACTGCTTAACTTCTCCAACGAATCTCCATCGACCTTAGTTATGGTCATGTGCGTTACGCGCGCTCATCGTAATGATGGCAGTTTTGAACATTCGAGGAAGCAGCGGCGGGGGGTGGGCCGCGCGGCTCTCTCCAGCGGCGGCGAAGCTCTCTGTCTGGAAAAAAAAAGGATTTCTGCAAATAGCTAATTAACCGCGCCTTTCGCCCTGCCCTGTAAAATTTTCGTCTGCGCGGCTCCTCTGAGTCTCGTCGTACTGCCGGTGATGATGAGCGGTATTTATGGTGACGGAATTGACTTGCTCCATCGTCCTCCGTCCCCTGAGAACTCGCCTTTCCCGCTGCCCTGTTGATCCTTTCCTTCGTGTCCGCTGGGCTGCGTTTCGCACAGCAGAGGAAGGTTCTTCGGACGGAGAAGTCGGAGGGAGCAGACGGGAAGGACGAGTATCCATAGCCGCGAGAACACGAGAAGCAACCGCTGTGTGCGGAGCTTGAAAAGGCGCGCGGGAAATTCACTGCGCGCCACCATAGTTCGCTCCCCTCGCCGAGCTCTTCTGGTCCGGTGCGTGGAGGTCAATAGTTTCTTATCGACATTTCGCCCCCGAGGGGACTATCTCGTGCATTGCATAGATTGTCTTTCTCTTTTCGTTTCTTTCCTTCTTTATTGGATAGATTGTAGTGTGTAAATTGGCGATCAATGGAGATTACGATGATTGCGTGTGAGGGCAGCAGTAATTACGTCAGTTAAGAAGACCGGTGGCGCAAATTTGGCTGGGAGAGCGTGGGGAAACGATTCGCGCAAATTTGGCGGGAAGAGCGTGGGGGCAAGGTTCGCGCAAATTCGGGGATCACGGGAATCCGAGATCTCGTCTTCGTAATGCGGCGATCACCCTCGCTCCTTGCCGCCTTTCTCTTGCTGCTTTTGCCATGTTTCTTCACCTTGCAATATGCGGGGCGGGGTGGTGGCGGCGGCGGCGATATGGATGAAGTAATAGACGGGGGCGGTGCTAGAGGCGGAGAAGCGGGAGGACGAGCAGCATCGACATCGGAAAATGAGAACGTAGCGACGGCATCGCCGTCCGCCAGGCGCGCTGAGGACCATGATCATCTTCATCATCGTCTTCGCCGTCTTTTCCGCACTCCTGAGGCGTCAGAAGGGCGATTACTGCAGGGGTTGTACAATACATCCAGTATATCTACCATTGATCCTACCTTAGTAGCTGATGGTACCAGCGTCGTGAAGTTCCCCGGAGAGAGTCCTTTCAAGACTTTTTTGAACGGTTCCGAGGCATGCCTGGGCACAATAGAGGACGTCGCCCTCTCTCGCAGCGGCACTGTGTTGTACTACAGGCTGTGGGAAGTATGCATGGACACCGTACTTAAAAAAATCACCAAGCTCCGCTACTCTTTTAGAGAAGCCAAACCGGGTACGGCTACGGCGCTGGAGAGAGGTGGACGTTTGCTTAGTTACTGGTGGCCGGCTGCGAATGCAAGCGGGAGAGCGAATATGACCGCCTTTGTGTTTGAGGATCCGTTGGGCTCTGGTCGGATCAATCCGATGATGAAGTTTTATTCCAGCATGGATGTTTCTAAGTCTGATACGCACCTGGCCCTCTTTCCGGAGGTAATCGGCGTCGGCAAGAGAATGATAGTTTTCATCGATGTCGCCAGCGGAGATAGGACGGCAATCGAGGTGTCCGACGTGGACTCGCCAGGAAGTCTCGCGTTCAATCGGCTTGCAAATGAGCGTCTGTATATCGCCGACACCGCTGCGCCTTATCGCATTCTCTCTGCGCCCATGTTACCTGGAGCTGATGGTATTCCCATGAGTAGCACGACTGTTTTCGCACCGGAGGCCAATTTCCCCGAAGGCGGGACGCCCAACATAACAGGGACGAAGTTCGCGGGGCAAAGCTTGGACTCACAAGGGAGGTGTCTGTACTTCAGCGACTCCACCAATCTCACGGTTTGGAGCCTGGACTTGACATCTCCATCATCAAGAACATCATCACCGTCGAAATCGCCAGTGTCTAGAAGCGTCACGCATGTGGCGGGGTCAGGAACGGAAAACATGGAAGATGGTCTCGGTTTGAGCGCGTCGTTCGAGTCTCTGTCGCATCCGGTAGTAACTCGAGACGGGTGCAACGTGTTCGTTGCGGATGACGATACGGTTCGCTGGATAAAACTCAGCTCGCCCTGCTCTACAGCTCTGGAAGTGACATCTGTTGCGGAGGCAAAGCCTACGAGCTTCGGGGGCTTGGCGCTCTTCGATGACGGGACAAGCAATCCACTCCTGTACCTGGGTACAATGGACGGGCAAGTATACAAGCTGGAAATTAACAGGGCTGCGTTACATGCATGTGGCAGTGAGAGGCCGATACCGTCTGAACCCTCGAGCATTCCACCGCCTTTCCGATCTGCTCCTAATGGTTCCCAGAGCTCCCCACCGCCGCCCTCCCCTCCCTCTTCTAGTAGCCCTCCAGCAGCGCAAGACTCGAGCAGCTCGAAATCACGAAAGGATAATCCGTCTCCCTCCATCATCGTGGTTCCCGTTGTGTGCGGTTTGGCTGTCCTCCTCATCGTCGTCGGAGTTGGGATCGTTTACTGCAGGCGCATTAACCGACCACCGGAGGCGATACCAGTCACTCAATATACCACCTACACACCGTCATTGGTGCTGACCACCGACACCGTCCCGCTAAACCCCGCCGTTGTCAGAGCTTTCGCGCTCACCGATCTCCGATTCTGCACGAATGATTTCGATCAGAGTTATCTTATTGGCGACAAGGGAGCGTTCGGGGAAGTGTACTGGGGTTCGCTGGGAGGAACTCAGGTGGCAATCAAGGTAATGCACGGGGAGCTGACGGCTGCCAAGCGCAGGCAGTTYGTMRYKGAGGTRAATACTCTCAGCCGTGTTCACCACGCCAACCTCATCCAGCTCATCGGATACTGCGACGAGGGGAACCGGTGCATCCTGGTCTACCCTTATTTCGCAGGCGGGAGCTTGCAGTCACGATTACACAAGAGGGTGGGGGTGCGCGGAGCAGCGCCCCCGCCGCCGCTGACGCTGTCGCAGCGACTGTCGATCATTTTGCAGATCGCAGAAGGGCTTCGGTATTTGCATTGCGGCGCTAATCCGAGAGTCATTCATCGGGACGTGAAGAGCAGCAACGTCCTCCTCAGCGATGGTGCTGACGGCAGCTTGCAAGTCGT